TAATTCCTCACTATTATAAATATCTCGCAAGGAAAAAAATACTTAAAATTATGTTGATACATCTGTCAGTAAGTCTTTATACTATTTTTCCTACTGTGGGCTTGTTTTTTAACATTTGGATGTTTACGGCGGCTCCATTAGGAAAAATAGAGTTTTCAGTTGGGTCCGCATACATTCAGGGCAAGCACAAGAAGTCCCTCGGGTCTGGTGATTCCCTTGGAGATATGTGCAACCAGGTATGAAAATCACTATTCTTTAATAATTTATTTCTTTAAAATAGTTATTAGCAATTGATTTTGGAAATTGATCGAAAAAATTTTTCAAGTCTTCCAGAAATCTGGCTGCATTGAGATAGCGGATTCATCTTTTGTTAAATCGTATTTTGACACTGATTATTGTAGCTTCGAGAAATTCGAAAGCGAGGAGCCTAACGAGCATGCGGATTAAGCATCATTCAAATCGAAAAGCCGGGATGTTTCTTTTTCTCCTCGTGTTATCAGCTTTGGACATCTGGCTGAGTGCTCCTTTTGTAGATATATACAAAAGAATATACTATATTCTTAATTATTAGACGTATTTGGTTCTATATCAATTGAAAACTTCAAGTTAAAAAATCTTTCAATTCTGAACAATTTAAATTAATGTAGAGACGTTCAAANCTCTTATTGTAATTTGTTTGCACGCTACAATTTTAGCTTATTGAAATTAGTTTTAAGTCTGCTTATCTTACTGTATTATACTTTTCTGGCCAGATGGGGGTCTTCCCCAAGGCATAATAAACACTCTAAACACTCTCTGTCAACAGTCGACTGTTGTCGTACGTCATCGTAGCGTATCCTCTCCCCCCGTACATCTACTCAACGGTATACGGTATATATAGGTATAGTTCCCGACTGCTTCTTCTGATGCGCGTGCGCGCTACTCTCTCCCATGCCCCGCTCCCCGCTCTTTGCTTCCCCCTCGCCACCAAGAACCGGATGGACACTTTTGCGTTGCATCAGCCGGTTTTACTCGCCCTTAGACTTCCAGTACGCGGCTATAGAAGTTTCACTTAAAAAATTTATAAAATTAAACCATAAACTTTAAAGTTTTCATAGAATTGACATCAATAGATTGACAAAACTGAACTAAATAGTAAATTAATACCGGATCAAAGTAGTGTATGTAAAATTTTACTTTGATAAAGTTTGTGTAGTAAACGTTATTTATAGTTATTTCTTAGGATTACCGATCTCTTATTTTTAAGGTTGTTCACGCAAAAATAAAGTTTTTTACGTAATCTTTAAAACTTCAGGTATAAGTTATAAATATTGCTACGCATAAATGGTTTAAAACAAAGACTTGGTGAGCCATGAGATATTCAACTTCTAATTTGTTCGTTTTAACATTGCAATTTATGAGCAAGTCATTTTGAAACTCTTTTTTCTGTTATCATCCGCGAAAGTGTTTACGATTTCATAAAAAAATGAGCATAACATAAGTAATATTACTCCTGTGAACATATTAAGATATTAGAAACTAATTGGGTGCCATTTGAAAGATTTTTCAACTCTGAAACAATTTTTTATGCTATGAGTATACCTATATAAAGGTAAGATTGTTCCCAATTTTTTGAGCTTTGTTAAAATCATCTATTATTTATTATGTTTTTTAGAAGTTTATTGTACTATTAAAGCTTCAACTAAAGATAATAAACAATGACTAGTATAAAAAAATTAATTATTATCAGTTACAAAAGAGGATCAAGAAACACTGCGTGGCATGAACTACTTTAATGTATAGGACAATTTAAAATATCTTTAAAATATCTTTATCGAAAGTGAAATTTTATTTACCTATACGACATTTAAAAAACGTTTGCCATCTCTGTTGAAATCTATGCACTTTATTACTATTGTCTTATCCAGAACATTGAAAAAAAATTTGCATCTACTTAAAACCATTTTTAGCTACGATTTCAAATATACTTTTCTGACAATACACATTTTTTAATACAGATAAAGATTCAAATAATAATCGGTTTAAAAATTGTAAATACCATATGAACAAAATTAAATTTATATTCATAAAAATATTACATAGAGAAAAAATATGAATACGATTTGACGGAGGTTTCTCGGAGACTT